GAGAGAGAGAGAGAGTAGAGAGAGAGAGACGAAAGCGTTACATTACATACCGGAGCACCGTTCGCGTTCTCGTGTAAATCTCACTCGTTCATGCCGTTTAACATTTGACAGTTTGCAGCGTTGTGTTCGGGTTTTGTGCAGCCCGCGCAAAGTTTAAGAAATATCGTCTGAGTATACGAGTGATTAACGTGGAAAAGTGCTGGTAAATTGTTGAAAACATTGGGAAATTGATATCGCGTGAGACCGAGTCTGCTGGTATCGCATAGTTGACACGGTGAAAAATATGACGATTCGCATCGCGATGGCAGTGAAAAAATCACGTGGATGTGGCGTGTAATTGACCGGTCTGTAATCTTGACTCTAAATTATCCGAGTGTTCGCGATGTTGAAACATACGAGCAGGACTGGACGACCTCGGGTCGTCGTAAGAAAACGGAAAGGACGCTCGTTGTCTAGAAGCTGGCCTGGTACACCGAGAACTCTATCGATCGTGTCGTCTGAGGTAAAAAAGCGCATCTCGTCTGAAACTTTTGAAAAGTCAATCCATTATATCGAGTAATGTGATTGCATGATAAAAGTTTGTTTTTATAACTCGTTAATATTTGCTTAAAAATTTGAGAATAAGAATGTTTACGCGAAAATTTACCCTACGAGCTGATGGAAAAGCACGTTTCAGATTGTATAAAACTCTTGTATAAAAAGTGTTCGAATAAAAATTAACGAGTTATACAAATAAATTTATTGCACGATTTATTGACTCTTGTGTTATGTAAATTCATTTTCTTATTTTTTTTACTTGATATTATTTCCTCTTAAATTGTCACAATTTGCATAACATGCAAATGGGATTTGTATAATAAATTATATTTGTACGTTGCGAGCGAGCGTAACGAAAATAACATATAATAAAAATGACATACGCGCACATATGAACCATTATCATATACGAGAGTAAAACGGAACGAGCTAGATATTTCTTTCCGTTTAATGCTATACATCCGCTGCGGATACATACGTAGCGTGCGATCTTTTGTCTTTCGTAATGATTTTAACCACCAGTTTTATCTTCTTTCCGTTGCGGAAACGGTTGTTTCATATCAATTTTCGATTACGCATCGATATCTTGAGATGCTCGGCCGTCCGTCCATTCCTCTTATTGTTAGTCGATAACCTTGCGAGCGGGGCGATACGAGCGATCGTATCTACGAACGAGGTCATTAACGCTTCTCGAGATCGACGTAAGGAACAACGAGGAGACGAACCACGTTGACATCGTCTCCCGGCGATCGTCCCGTCTCTCTCTCTCTCTC